ATACAAAGTTCTGTAATAGATTGCATAGTAATGGTGATCCTTATTTTTATAAATATTATGTATTGATACACTAATATAGTTATATTTTTCGTTATATATATATATATATATACAATTACAATACCATGACGTATATCATGATATATGACGATGCAATAAATTAAATTAAAAAAGTTTTGAGGAAAATTTTGTTCCTTGCGAAATACACATCGAACAATTTTTAAAACTTTATACACTTATGAAAATCTTGATTAATTAATTATTGTAGTTTTGACAATTTCTTTTCGGTAAATTTGTTTGGATAATTGTTGTTGAAAATATAAGATCGCATTTTCAATTCTCTTTGAAGAAAAAAAAAAAAGATGAATAAGAAATAAGTGCAGTAACAAAAATGTTCTACCATTATTGATGCTGTTAGTGTTATCAGTTAGGTAATAAAAACTAGAAATAAATACAATATGTACTATTTAAAAAATATTTATAAAATTGTGTAAAAATAACTATGTATTATGGCCACAAGCATCATAATAAACAGTAAGAATGATTTCAGCATTATGGGTAATTTCAATTTACTATTTACCATGTTTAGAATTATAATACTTAATGCCATTAATAACTGAACACCTAGCATATTTAGTTAGAAGTGCATTGACATTCATTCTATGTGTTGTCAAATTTCTGAAAAAAGAAGTAATTCCTATGATAACAGCAAAAATTTGGTGAATGTAATTCACTTTTACCTACATTAAATAGGGTGTTATTTCCTGTACTGTCCACTTATTTTTTGCTTTGAAAAGTTGATTAAATCTTTCATTTATATCATTTGACAAATCAGCTTCTGTAAAGGATACTACTTCTTTTGTCATTGTTAAGTTATTCCATGTGATATAAGCAATTCCGCTTAAATATTCTCCTTTTGGTTCCATTTCTATATGTAAACAAATACAATGTAAAGATTTTACTTATAAGTATTAAAAAAAATTCTTTTCACATAAATTTTAATTTACTTTCTGGTGTACCAATACGCCATGATTCCATGAACTGTTTGTATTCAGTTATTGGAGAAGCAGCAAGAAGTACTCTTGCTAAAGTTCTACAACATTGTCTCTCATTGTATCTATAATATTATAATTTATTATAGCAAATCATAAAATATATTTAATATTCTAAAAAGATTTTTATACAAATTACTTACTTATACAATGGAGT